GAGCTGAACTCAGGTCCGTCCTCCCCTTTTATACGGACCGAGGTGAGGCCCACGGAACGTGGACTATTGGTTCTTCAGAACGCGCGAGCGCGCGCGGGGGTACCCATCAACGATAGCCTTAGAGGGCTGCGCTTACACTCATAGAATCTGGGGTTACAATACGTAACCAACGTTTCAAGTGGTAAGATTATGAGCTTTAATAAGTAAAATTATCCCAGCTACAATGACAGACAACAGATATTACATTTATAGTATTACAACTAAAACCGTTTTTGATGCCGCCACCACAGTTTGTCCTTCATGAGCCTTCGTAGACAAGATGGCGGTGCAAGATGGCGGTTGCCTGTAGTGGCGACCCAAGACCATGGAGATATAAACAGCTTTTTATAAGGTAAAAAATAATAAAACAAGGTCTTTGTCTGCAATGATTAGACATGTTTTTTTTATTATTGTCATTAGTGATTATCTCAATTTTGGCTAAAAGACTTGAAAAAATCCTACACACTGTGCCTTTAATTCATTGATAAAACTCCCCAGGTAGGAAATAATACATCTTCAGCTACAGAATGAAGTCCATTTGCTTAAAAATAAGGGTTTTGTACAAACTGCAAAAGCACACCCTAAAAAGACTTTAGAAGCACCAACACTGGTTCAAAGTAAAGAACACAGAGTGATGTTACAGCAACCTAATAAATCAAGACCTTACATTGCAAAAAGGGGAAAAAAACAGTTAAAGTACAACCTTTCATTTCTTGAAATGAACATTTTTTTGCATTGTGGTCTTCTACAAAGACTCAGAATCCAGATGAATGTTCTTGCTGCATATAAAAGAGATGTTAGAATTCTGAAACACAGTGGCTTTGTGTTGGTCCACATGGAGGTGAAATAAACCTTGCAGCTCTGCTTCCCACCAGCAGGCTGCAGTAGAGATCTATTTAACAGAAAGCATGTAGACAAGTCAGAGCAGTGCTCAGTTCTACATTTGTATGTCTGCATAGAAAAACTTATTTGTATGACCTGATCAGCTGTTAAAACATAGCGGCCCACATGTTCACAAACACAGTTTGAAAAAGAAGTAGCTACTCGCCACTATTGAAGACCAAATGACTAACCTTGTGCTCCGAGAACTTGTCCATGATGCTCTTTGATCTCTTATTCTGGACAGCATGAGTCCTCTCAGTCTCTCCTGTCCCACTGTGTCCCACTCAAGTGCAGCATGTCAAGTTGTACGGACTGTCTGTAATTTTTTTTCCTCATTTTGCAGGTATACTGAAGTTAACAGACCAATCTCACCCAAATATTTTAAGTTTTATGGATTTTAAAAAAATGTAGTTTCAAACTTATTTAACATTTCAGAGCCTGTAGGGTGTTAAAAAACAATAAATACCAACAATCATCTTCCAACCCGTTCCGCTCTGCTACTATAAATAAGTTCTCCCCTCCTCATTTCTTCCTGCGCTGCCCTGCACAGGTGCTGAAATCCGCGGCCGACAGTCCGCCTGCACACCCCACCATCCCCGTGCATGTGATTAATAGCCTATGGATTATTTTATTTTATTTTTTGCTAAAATTATGGATTTCTGAGGCTCATTATACAGGTAAATGACCGAAGGGTTGACATGTGTGCAAGTGGTGAGTTTTAACTTAAAGGAACGCTCAGAGACGCCGGTGACTGGAAGAGTCAAAAATAAAAAGAGAGTGGTGCAAACCTCACTGAACAAGTTACTGCAGGATGGAAGCTTTTTTACCAGATCTGCAAAAGATTTTTGTTTATCTGGTCCCTGAAGAGGTTCTAAATCAAAGCAGACCGGGCTATTCTGGTTGCGTTCAGAGGAGGGCCCGCTTTTTCCACCTCGCCGAGTCAGCTTCCTACTGCCTTTGAACCGGTTCGGTCTCGTCCCGTGGTCCGAGGAGCTTGGAGAAGAATATGCAGGAAATGCGAGGTCGCACAATAAATCCAATGGTAAATGTAGAATTCTGAGCAAAACAAGTCATTCTGTGGAAAACAGACTGAACACAGTTGAAAACTGCATCGCTGTTGACTTTTTGAAACTTCTGATTTCAGAATAAAATCCATGTGTATCATGCGTGTATGAATATGTTGTGAGCTGCATGTTTCCATCTGCTTCCTAATCACAATGATACATTTTGACAGTGTTTATGTATAAGTATACCCATATAATTACCTCTGCCAAGGGCGAGGTCATGTTTTCGGTCTCGTATGTCTGTCTGTCCGTCTGTCGTTCTGTCTGTGGACAACATGACTCAAAAACTTGTGGACGGATTGTCATGACATTTTTACCACATGTGTGTACTGCCTCAAGTAACACACCTTTAAATTTTGGTGATGTTCCGGATCACGATGCGGACACAGGAATTGTTTTTATTTTAACACCATTATTTCTTTTTCATGTCCCACGTGGGTTTCAAAGTGTCCAGCAGGTGGTACTGTAGTATTGGTGTGCCCTTTTGTTCTAAGTCACATGTGTGATGTCATGTTATTGTTCTACATCATACCTTCACTGTGTGTGCACAGAATATGTCTGCTTACATCTGTGTTATGACATTGATTCAGTTTTATTACCTCCGCCAAGGGCCAGGTCATGTTTTCGGTCACGTATGTCTGCATATGTTTTCACATAAATATCTTTGAATACATTGAAAGTTTGATTTCCATCATTTACTATTATGTCTAAATACATGCAACATGATGTTACTGTATTTACTATAAAGCACTGGAAACGTGACTTTTCCTAGGGGAACCTTTTAGCATAATTGACCCTACTGCCTTGGCAGAGGTTTTGCACTCTTCGAGTGCTTCTAGTTATTAATATAACAAACATTTTGACAAAATTGGCTGTTCTTCAGGGATTTATTTTGTAAAAACGGAAGTTGTATTCTTTATTCTTCCTGTTGGTGCGGTGTGATTTCTGTAAATTGACTCCGGAGCAGCTCCGGCGTCCGGCAAAAGGTGAATCTAATTTTGGCGGATCTCGGTCCACTCTCTGCTCTGCACCATCATGAGGAGCCAGTGTAAATACTGTCCTTGATTACATCCATCCATCCATCCATTTTCTTCCGCCTATCCGGGGTCGGGTCGCGGGGGCAGCAGCTTCATAAGGGAGGCCCAGACCTCCCTCTCCCCAGCCACTTCTTCCAGCTCCTCCGGGGGAACTCCAAGG